AAAAAATTCCAACGCAATTAAAAATAAAATTTATTCTTAATAAAAAATTTTATTTATATCTTTAACTAATGCATATCGATTTGAATTTGTTTGATCTTGTGTTTGTATTGAACGTGTTGCATAAATATAAATACGTTTTAAATCTGATTCAAATCGAATACATTCTTTATCTAAACGTTTATCTTCTTCTTTATTTTTACTTCGAATTGAAGGTGAAGGTGGATGAACACTATATAATCAATCAAATAAATGAATTTTTTGGTTTTGTATTTCTATAGAATTTTACGAGATGTTGATGATGGAGTAAAATTAATAAGATAATAAGTCCAACCTTCAATTGCACCTGCAGCAATTAACATTTCAAATGTAATAACATCTTTAACTAACTAAAACAAAAAAAAAGCTTCTTAGCGCAGCCCCTTGAAGGCTGAAATGTAGAACTCACATATCTTAAACTTCATTATACTAATACAAAATACGAAAAATGAATAGTATGTAACAAACGATAGTTGATTTCTAAGAATAATCGACCGTGAAAGAAACCATCTGTCTTATTTATATTCGCATTTTAAACAGAATTTTTTTCTTTAATTGTTTCTACTGACGCTCTATTTCTTATTTGCTTGTTGCTATTCGCTCATTATTTATTTTCTTTTTTTTCTTAATTTCCTATTATTTCTTTTTTTCTAATCAATGATTTAACTGACGAAACAGTTGGTTGTAACGCAATTATAACGATAAACTGTCGTAAAAACGATGTTTTAATGATATCTTCAACGCGTTTAAACATGTTAAGAAGATATGAAGTCGTTAAAACGAGTATTTTCTTTTGAAAAATACGCGTTTTTATCAGTTTTAACGCATTCAAAATTCTGAGTATGTTGCACGATCATAATTGAGCCACATTATAACTAATTACGACCTATATCGTAGAAAAAATTGAATATCTGTGCCATCCTTTGACCAAAGGAGCTGATTTTTTTACCGTTGATAGAGAAATGTTCGTAGCTCATATTGATAAGAGAAACATCGATAAAAGTTGTATTGAAGTACTGCATTTGCTACAAATAAAGAAATGAAACCTTTCACGAATTATGAGAAAGCAATATTCATATCGACGCGAATGAGTTAAAGAAATCTGTGATCTAAAACACTAATCTCAATAAACTTGCAGCATTAAAATGAAATTTGCAATATAGTTTGCTTGAATTTATCGATAATGTCAACGTCACTCGGCTTTAGTAGAATAGCCAGCTATGTGTAGGATATTCTTCTTCGAATACATTCATTCATGTTTTACAAGGAAGAAATACCATCTTTTTTATCGATAAAAACGCTTTTCCCAAAATGATTTGTATTACTCACGCAATACTAGTGAAGCGAAATGGCTATCATCTCAGATGCAAACTTAAAGTTATCATACGGTATGGTAGATCATCATTATAGATTGTCTTTTAAACCATAATGATCACATATATGTCATCCTTGGACTTTATCAAACTTACTTAATAAAATGAAACTGAGTCAAAAATTAAGCTAATTAAAACTTGTAACAAATCACAAAAAGTTTTGACCTAAAGCAGAGGATAACCATGAACAAAATAGATTTTAACTTTTTTCAAAGTGTGTAAATAATTATATCAATTGTAGTTTTGGTGAAAATCACATGAAAAATAGTCATTTCCAGTGTAAACTTGATCTATCACTCATGCACGTGTAACAGACAAAAATACGAAGGAAAATTTAAAATCGATTTTCGAAATGCTTTATAATTATTAAGCTCGTTATTTTGAACAATTTTGCTGTTGAGAGCGCCTCTAAATTCCACGTAGATTTTCTAAAAGTTGAATTTTGCTGTATCCCGCAAAATTTGCTGAGATCATATATTGATCCTATAAGCGCAAGGATGATTATACAATTCTTCATATAGAGTGAGTGTATAGAGTTTTTTTGTTGGGAAGTCTTTTTGTAAAACAAAAATAATCTTTAGATATAGCCTTAAAATTAGTTTAGAACGATAGAGAATACTTTGAGCTATCGATTGGTAAAAAAAATCAGAAAGAGAGACAAGTTCTAATCGCTCAAAAATTAGGATTCAAAAAATATTTCAAAAATGGCTGAGATTGTACATTTCTCTCGTGACACCAACGGGGTGAATCATTTGACTTGAACGGGATAAATATATAATCGAAAAGTACTGTTCAAAGAATACCTTGTAGATAGGTGTGCTCACAAGATATCGAGAAAATTTTTCCACCAACCGATAG